GGCTGTTGTGCAGTGGCTGCCAAGCCAGTAATTGGATTCTGATCTCAAACAGCAACCTACACCCTTACTTTAAGTTGTAACTTTCTCCAAATGAAAAACATGAAACTACTTCTGAAGTGCAGTAATTTCAACACAAACAAGGCGCACCGTCGGCTTTATGATCATGACGCTCTTTTTTTTCAAAACAAACGGGTTAAAGGAAAAAACTGACAAAGCTGACTGTATGGGAAGGGTCTCAAACGCTCTCTGGCCACCTTCTGGCTGACTGCTGCGGTCTTGTTCTCAGTCACGCCTGAAAAGTGTCGGGCCCCACACGGCATGATTTTCCCTTGCTTTAGAAGTGAAGTCACCATTGACGCTGGTATGAAAATCTGCTGTATTGTCCCCTGTGTTACTACTTGCCTGATACAATTAGCCATGTCACAGTCAGTCTCTGGGAGTCACATTAGAGCCATTTCAGCAGTTTATTTCTCTGCCCCTTCACCGGTCAGTCACTAATTTTTTTAAGGCCTGTATTCTTGAAATAGTTACAGTATGCAACTGTTAACGTTATTGGGAGTAATGTTACAGCAGCAAGGGGAAAGAGAGTGTTTATCCACTGCGTGTATGGCAAATTAAATTAATGCACTCTTTTTTTTCTCTGTAAAGAGAACATGATGCAAATTTAACTCCGTGTGTTCCTTTAGCTTTTGGTGAACAGAACACTCAAATTGTTTCAACTGCTCTAATTAAAAAAGAATGAGGAAAAGCAACAAAGCTGACTAGATTATTTGCTATCCACTTTTTGATTTCTGTGTATAGAAAAGAATTTATACAATGCTCTTTTTTAATGATTTCCCTGAAACAGTTTCCTTTCAGTAGTAGTGAGTTGATTTTTAATATATTTTTCTCTTATCTCCTCCAGCTTAGGATTTTAACTTTCCATTTCCACAAGTTTAGTTATGACAAAAATATTTTTTATTCTCCTTACAAATGCTTTTTGGGGATAATTAGTACATAATTATATCTTTTAGTCTCATTGACTCTCTTGCCATGAACATTCAGAGACTAGCCAATGGATTTTGACATGTGTGTTTCTTAACGTATTTTTGCCATGACTTTGTTCTCACTGACGGAACAGATGCTGCGATGTTTCTCACCTTGCTACTGATTCATCTCTCATAGCTACTAAATTTGTCTGAAACACTGTGGTCTGAAGAGAGACTGTTAAGACAAAGTCCATGCCTCTCTGTTACCAAAGTGATGTCATGATTTGCTATCTTTACCAATCCCCAACATTCCATGAAAGATATGAAAATGGCAAAAAGCAAGCAATAAGCAGACATTACACAAAAAAGCAGAAACTTACACCCAACTATCTTCATCTCTGCATCAGAAAGAAAGGAGAGAGAATAAAGGGAAAGGAAAGGGAGAGAAGCCAGGAAATTAAGACAAGGAGAGAGAAAAAAAGAGAAAGAAACATCACTCACAAGTAGAAGATGAAGCATGCACTTTTCATCAGAGGATCAAAGTAAAAGACAGAATACTTATCAGCACATGGGGAAGGGAAGGGATGTCCTTTGGGGAACCGACAAACGCCATGCCTATGCAATAGATTTCTGATCAGCAAGTTCTGTATACAAATAAAGTTGCAATCCAAAAGGCAAGCAGCACATGCCTCATTGCTTTTTTCTCTGGGGAAAGGTAAAATTATCAGGATCAGATGGATGGTCTTAAACCCAGTAGCAATTTAGAAAAGAAAAAAACCACAAATGAACAAAAACCCACCACACCTCTGCATGAGGCTGGTTTGACTGAATCTCTTCTGATTTGGACAAAAAAGATAATTAAAGTTTTTATGATGCTCTTCTCAGATCACAACACAGTAGGAAACAACATTTAATCTTTCAAAATAAAGACAGGCATGGTTATTTTGTAGGATATTAATCTTGTTATGCATAACCATGCAAGATATAAGCAGATAAACACCAGTTTCACTGTATTTCTTAGTGATGACCAGCTACCCCTCACGTTGCTCATATCTGAGTGAGTGAACAGAGGGCTTGATACAGGAACTAACGCTACTGTTTAGAAAACAGAATGGGATAAGAAAATTGTATCTATTGTACGATAAGACATAAGACACAGCTACAGAATTCTAATGGTTAAGATGTCTATGTGTGAATGGATTTCCTATTAAAAAAGCAAGGGAAAATATTAAAACTTATGACCAAGAAAACTCATTTGAAATGCCAGAGCTGTTTGCTTCTTAAAAAATAGATTTCTTGCTTCAGCAGAATGATCACTGCATATTTTAACAATACTAGGTGACCTAGCCTTTATTAATTTATTTTTAACATTTTTAAATCACACTGCCTTGAAAAAATCTGTATCTACTTGCAAAACTCAAGTCATGAACTTTCTGTGCTCTTTTCTGAAAGAGGAAACCCTGTCTTTAATGAGAAAGAAACAGTTCTGAAGCAAAGCAAGGAAAAGGTAGTTTGACATAGACAATTAAAGCAGCAGACATGGTTAAGAACTGCTAATGTGCGTAACAGGGTTGGGTTTTTGTTTGTTTTTTCAAAAATGAAATATTTTCTAACTTTAGACAATGCTAGTAAAGCTGAGAAACAATGTTTGATTCTGGCTGTAACAACATAAACACAAAGAAAATTGATGGACATGCCTTGTTCACATAGCTTGGCTAATCCACCTGAAAGGTACCTTCCTCTACCCAAACATTTTACCCTGGACACTGGCTAAACTCAAACCACAGTTTGATCTATTGGTTTAAAAGCAAACAACAGGCAAATACCTGCTGTGGTTTGAATAATGTCAAACATATTTTCATTGCCAAAAAAGTTGATAAGTAATTAGATTGAACACTGTTCACTGCATCAGTGAAGTTATGTTATATCTTAATCTCCTAATTTTTCAGATACTTCATTGTCCTGGAGAATACCCAAGATAATGAAAATTTTTTTGTTTAGGGTGCCATTCATGGCTCCCTCTCTCTTCACATCTCACCTCCACTCTGGCAATGTCCTCATTTATCATTACAGCGAAAGTCTGTTCACACTTCCATGGCTGCCTTTCTTTTCCTACCTGGTGGTTGAAGACATTTACAACCTGCCTTTCTCCACAAATGTGAACCTTTTTTTTCCTGCCAAATACCAATGCCTAAAGCTTGGCACCTCAACTCTATACATGCAGACCTCTGGTAGCCCCCTTTGAACTGAGGAGAAGTTCTGGGTGTCCAGCACCTCTCAAGGGGCAGCAAGCGTTTAATAGCAGAATGGTGGTCCTTTCACACATTTGTTTGTATCAATCAGTATTTTAAGCAGGTCTATACATATATGAGATCAATTCCAAACAGATTATCATCTTAAAATCCCTGTGTTTTCTCCAACAAGAATTGTGGTTTGCACAAACATGATGTTAGCAAGCAACTGTGGTCTTTTGAAGACTACCATTTGAAAAACTGCTGGGCTGACCACTACTGTACATGTATAGTGAGCCTTACAATGGGAGTGCTGCAAACACACACTGTGGAATCTGGTTTTAATTTACTTAAATGTCCAAGGTCTCCTGGCTGAATATCATGAAGTTCATAATAAGAATTTACTTAAGGTTTCGTGGACATCTTTGCACTGAGGCAGTGGTTTCACTAGTTCTTAATTAGAGAGAGAAAAAGTTTGGAAATTTGAATTAGCTGCAATGACTGGAGAATTTTTAAAGATCAGGGTAGGAGCACTTTTGGCATGAAAACTGCTAACCTGCTTGTTCAACCCCTGGACAAAAGCATTGCCCCAACCAGCCAAGGTGGAGGGAAGACAGGCCCACTATGCCAGCTTGCAGAAAGAGGCTAGGGTCCAGAAACTGAAAAAACAATTGGGGAACGCTGAGGCTATAAAGCTGTTCCTTAAGTTTGCTAAAATTCAGCAGTCTGAAGCACCTGAGGGACAGCCCTACACATAGAAATGGAGAATAAAGTGATTCTTGCAGGAGAATCTGTTCACTTATACAGGTATGTAAATGTTATTTTTTATGTTGACTTTTCTAGCTGTGATCTAGCTATTCTTACGCATCCAGCTGTGATCTCAATTACAGCAGATCACCTTCCAGCAGCCGTGTCTGCATATCAACATGCAATACTTAATCTTTTCTCTATTTGACCGCTTTGGGTTAAGACTGGAACTATAAGGTCACTAAAACCTAAAATTTATAATTGGCTTTATAGCCCATATCCTCTGCTGCTGTACTACTGTTGTTTTCAAGTCAGTTAGTAAATAAAACACACACTATTCTAAATCTTTTTACTTTAGTCTCTAGAAATTCTTCCCACCTACTCCCTATTTTTATTGTGCGTTCTGAAGAGCCTCCATAATGAGGCTACAACAACAAGTTTTGATACTGATGTGTCACTACAGTCTTTTGAGTAATAAAATCTGCTACTTTTCCCATTATGCTTTCATAAAATTTCCTATGTCTGCAAAGTCATCCTTGGTCTTGGTTATAATAATGCATAGCAATGAGGTAGTATTTCAAATGCTATACATGCAACATAATTAGTAAGCCCATTTCTTACTACCCTGTAAAAATCAAGACAGTATAATGCCAGGTTTTATATCTATTGATTGCATGACTGGCCAGGTTCCGGTTTCCTCCCTCAATGAAGTCTTGGCTACGCTGGGGCTACCTCAACTTGTGCCAAAACATGAAGCATCTCAAGCTGCTGCTCCAAACGTTAAGAAGCAAACAGAGTACAGCAATGCTTCAGCCAAGACAGCTGTGGCATGGACTAGGTGCTCTGCAAGCCCAGCTGGAAAAATCAGACCAGATTTGCAGCCTCATGTATTGTCAATCCATACAAAAGAATTGCACTAACTCCAAAAATCAAGGTGGCAAAGTGAAAACTCTTTCCAGGCTTTGGATTACGGGGAAGAAGAAATTTCATGCATTTTAAAAGAAAGACCTCTATGCTCAGCATACATGAGGGATATCTAATTGGCTGGGGATGTGGGGGGAATATCAAAGCAATCTTTCCAGATTGCATGTGAACTTAACACCTCCTGTTACTATGGCATGCCTCCCTGAATCTGGAATTGGCATTTACTGACAAACAAGGCAACTCTCCTACTATTAATCTTCTTCAAGTAAAGTACCCATCCCAGCAACGCTTGTCTAGTAGAATATCAGAAAAAAATGACCAACATTTTCAGATTAGAGCTGTTATGTTTACCTGGCATGATAACATCAGGAAAACCCAGCTTCCGGGTGACAGAAACCCCTCTGTTAAAGATCATGGGGTTTTCCCTTCGAATCTGCTCCATGTCACCGCGAAGAAGCTGAAGAGATATTATAAGTCCTGGAAAAAAACCAAAGATGTTCATTTTTTCAGGCCTACGAATTACATATCTGTATATACAAGGCATGCAGGTAAAACAATGCTTTGCTCCACAGTTAATTTAATACAAATATATAAATACAGAATTCTTTTCTCTCTTGGAGTAATTTAAAACTGAAATGGAAGAAACAAAACTGCTTTAAGGGATCAGTTAAGAGCATAACATATTAAAATACAGGTTTTTTAGAATTAGAATACTTAATTTCACAGAGATGTTACAAGTTACAGGGAAGTACTTGGCATTATTTCTATTCCTCACATACAGCAGGTTACAACACACGTATGAGCAATACCACCTCCATCTGAACTATCACATCACACAGTGCTGTGGAACATCTCTAAAGTGCCTTTAATTCCACTTAATATCATTAAAAAAGTAACAACTGTCAGGTGTTCCACTTGTTTCTTTAACTACTTCACACAAGAATGCTGATTTTAATGAAACTCCCTTCAGTACCCTACAAAATGTTTCAGGAGTACCAACTAGTCAAACTGACTTCAGAAAACAAGGGTAAGCAAGGCTCAGCAACTAGCTCTTTCAATGAGCCCATGTTCAGCTGAATAGCTTAACTAAGAATAATTACACAGTTAATCTCAGTTCAACTGCTTTCTCTAGTTGCTTTTAATTTATAGCACACTACACCCCTAACATGAGGGCAATGTATTGGTAAAGTTACGAAGTCAAACGTTAATATACCAGAAAATGCCAGGACTAAGCTCAACCATATAAGCTCGGTCTTATCTGCCGAGCTACATTACCAGCTTCCCATAGCAATGTGAGTTACATTCACAAAGTAATTTTCCACAATCTTTATCTCATTCAATGAGGGATAATTAGTCAATAGTTCTTTCCATCCTCTCTGTTCACTTGCTGCATCAACACATACAAAACCAAACACTGCCTTGTATACATATCCTTGCATGAGCCATCCAAAGTTCTGCTATTTCCTAAGCTTAATGTATTGGCTTTCCGAACAGGATTTGGTTGCCATTTTGTTAGACAGTTACTTGGGGACTGAAACCAGTAATACCATGTACCTCCCACCCAGTTTCTGCTCTCCTCCCTTGAACTAATTTTCAAGCCTGTTGTTTGGCTTCAGCCAAATTTGGCAAATAAGTATATATCTAGATAAAATGAAGATTGTATAAGTTTTATGAATAGTGGGAGTTGAGACGAAAAAAAGAGCATAAAGCTTTAATACTAAAGAAAAGGGTGGCCAACCAGCCAGCTGGACAATCAGCATGTATGTACTCCAAAGCTGCCAAAACATGGACTTGCAACAGTCCAGCTAAGTAGGCAGAAGAGTGCTGCAAAGCACTGCAGGGAAAACGGAGGCTTTGTAACCATGGAAAAAAATCCAAACCCTTTGGATACCACGTGTGAGTTTACATCTGTGTGTGGATGTGGCACAGAAGGTTTAACAGAACACAGGATACAACTTCATTAGAAATCAGTCTCAACTATTTTTGCCACTTACAGAAAAACTTGTTCATTTTATATCCTCTTTTGCTATTAAACAAATGAAAATAAATTCAAAAAATTCCAGCATAAAGGACTGGAGCAAATTCTAACTTGGACCATCAGGTTGGAAGTTCAGATGTTTCCACACCCAACACCTCCAGTACTTAACAAATAGCACCAGAATTAATCTATTACCTATAAAAATCAGTCACTAGAGGTAATAAAATATGTAATTTTTCAGCATGGTATGGCATATATTACTTATGTGATACCCTCCCACATATTGCACCCCAAAAACTTCTGCCTACCTTCTTGCTCTCCCCAAGAGATTTGTGCATCTACTTTCCAGTCCTCTTTTTCTACACAGCCTCCTTTTTTTTTTTTTTTTTTTTTTTTTTCTTTTTCCTATTTCCTGCAGCAGATCCAAAGGACTTATCTTACACAAGAGCCGGGACAGTGGGGAGAGAAACAACCAGAGAGGTTTTCTTCAGGGAAAAATCACATTTGTGATTTGAGCATTTTCTCACTCTAAGAGCAGGTTCTGAGAGGCCCAAATTGTACTACTTACGCTTAAATCATGTCAGTCTGCAATAATGCTCCTCCCAATACCTCAGCTAAGTTTCAACCTCCTACTCCAGAGCTGCACTAGATCTTAATGAAATGTTTGAAATAATTATTTTAAAAAGCCAAAGGCCAGGGTAAAAAGCTATCTATTTCCCTGTCTTTCTGCTCTTTAAAAAAGCTCATGCCTGGAAAAAAAAAAGTTTTAGGCAGACACAGAGAGTCTCTGTGATAATGAATTTGTTGGTATGAAAACACTGATTATTCTCTGGACAAATACGTTAGACAAGTTTAACTTCTGGCTTTGCTTTTGTTGACAAGGATGCATGGTATCCTCAGGACAGCAAGCCTTAGATATGTGTTATACTTGGGATTTTCAAGGGAATACAGGATGAAAATGAAGACAGTTTTACCCAGGGAAATTCCGATGAATGAAAATTTAAATTCTTCATTTCCTGTGCAGCCAAGTCTGGTCACAGGAACTTAAGCCAGTGTCACAAAAAAATCTTTTAAAGGAGTTCTGCCAATGCTGATTGCTGCTTATGTTGTGTCCTCCCATGGCCAGTGGTTTTCACAAGCACAGATAAGACTCAGTAACTCTAACAGCCAATACTCACAGAGGAAGGTAATGCTACAGCAGGCCACTAGCTCTCTCCACTGCTGACATCTCTCAATAAAGTAACACTACAGATATAATGATGAAGGAAATTTCACATGCTGAAATAATATTGTCAGCCATATCTGAGAAAGACAGATATCTAAGTTTGATTGTTTTTTTTTAATTCCTGGTTAAATTGGCAGACGCAATACAGATTTTCACCCGGAAACTGAACGTGAATGAATTTTATCTAAACTTTTAAATCATCATAAGTAGAGAAATTCAGCTGTGCATAATCTCACATCTCACTGAATTTCTCTGCTATAAATAATTAGCAGTTTCCTAAAGGAAATCTTCAGCTGTTATTATGACAAAAATGTACAAATAAATATTTACCATAGTTTGAGCTGGGTGCTGTGTATTTGGTGCTGGACTTGCGAATAATATTTTCATGGATCTGGCACCATTCGTTTTCGTTGTTACACCTAAAATAAAAGAACACTAATTCAAGTTAAAAGCTTTCTGCTGAAAAAAGTCAACTTTGCTCTAGAGATAACATGAAAGGTTATGGGGTTTTGATGAATGAGAGGAATGCCACATAACTCTTGTTTTTAAAAATGAAAGGAAACAAAACATCCCCTAATAGTTATCTCCTTTTTATGGACAGTTTGGAGCCTCTGGTGACTTCTCTGTCATCAAGGCCATTGTTTCATTCTCCATGTTATGACAGAAGCAAAAAAAAAAGCTCTGGACATCTTTAGGTGAATTCCATGCACATAGAAAATTAATTTAGCTGTTGCCATATATTACCTTTTTGTGCTTAATGAAAAGAAAAAGTTAAAAAAGTGACACTTGTAAGACTACATAAACCTGATTTTTTTTTTCTTTTTTTTCCTATCTCAGGCTTTTACAACAAGACTGTTGCTTACCTACATATCTTAAAGAATGCCTTGAAACATGACGTGACACCCACAAAACCACAGGACAAAAATATATAACACAAAGTATGCTTCTGTATGTATATCACCTTCTGAAGGAGCATTTCACAATTGTTAATTCATCTATATGTAATTTTAATAAGCATTTGTAAATACTGTTATATTTCATTTTCAGTTACATTACTATCTGTAAATTCTCAATAAATTTCTCAACCAGAAATTACAAACTAATTATCTGTCAACAGATTTCTCATATTTCCACTCAATATTTTTTCACCAGGAAAAATATAGTTGTTAATACCAGTTTCAATAACACACAACAACTTGGTCTGTGGATGATAACCTCCTTCAAGCAATATTCAGGCAGGATAGCTGGCTGCACTGCCCTTGATCAAACCATCAGGTTCAAACCAGCTGGATGTACCAGCTGCTCTTACCAAGACCACCACTTAATGGCAGCACCTATAAACAAAATTGTTCCAACTATTTCCTGTTAGGTAATGCAACTAAAGGCTCATCTTGAACACAAAGGAGCAGAGGAAAAATGGCAGGTGGGGGAACAATGTCTGCCGGAGGAGGATGTTCAACATCTTGTTCAGGTGCAAAACCTAGCAAGATGAGTCAGCCAGAAAGGCTCCCTGCATTGCTTTAAAGACTGAACTGGGTTACTGCCTTTGGTGATACAGGACTCATTATGGGATGTTGGAGAAGAGCATTTTGGGATTGTTCAAGACTGAACAGGAATTGTAGGGAACTAGAGGGATAAGGGTATAAAATGGCCCAATCATGTGTAAATAGGTTGCTGTCAGTTTGCTTGTCTGGCCATGCCCTGTGCCTGAACTGAGTGTCTCAAACCAGGGACTGGAGGATTTGTAGTGTCTATATGTATGTATAAATGTTTTCCACTAACCACTTTTTACTCTGATAAATCAGAGAGGACAACAGGATGAGACCTATTACACAGTCTGTGCTGATCTGCGTGGCTGGCTGTGTATGTGTGGAATATATGTATGTACACATGGGTACATGCTCAGCCTTGTGCTGGACCTGGGGGCATGGAGCTGTGGCGGCCTCACCTCTGTCAGGCTACTGGATTCAGCAGCTCCTAACATTTCCCATCACCATTCCGATGCCCTTAGCAATTTCAGAGACTTCAGACTAATCGCATGACATTCCATGCGCTTACATGAGAGTTTCCTTCTGTTTGTTTTTTACGGCTAACTTCTAATTCCCTCCTCTGTTCTTAATCTTTCTCGGGATTGTTTCCTGAAATTGTAATATATTACCTTCAAAATACAAGTTAATGATAATTACAAAGAGAAGAAGACATGAATATATTACAAAGAATAGGCTATAGTCTCTACCACAGCATGATGCTATTCCATTGCAATAAAATCAGACTGTGTAACTGTGTAGTGGAAAGTCAAACCCACTATCTCTTACTGCTCCATTCCATGTCTTATGTATAAATATTTTAAAGTGGAGTGACATTAAAAAAATCCTCTGTAAATCACTGTATCTATAGCTCTATAGATATTCTCATTACTCTGATGGCAAGATCCTGGAGAGAGAAATTAGGGACACTGCAGCACTTGGAAATTACATTGTGATAGAGATAGCTAGGAGCACCAGAAGCAGATGTTTCGGTTTCCTTTCCAGTCACGGAGAAATACAGATTCCTTTTAATGATAACCCACAAAAAAATCATCATATGAGAAGAGAGCTAGTGAAGCAGGAAACAGAACAAGAGCACACCTTGATGCTTGCTTCCTTCTGGACCTTGGGAACTAGAGTCAGAAGTGCCATACTTGTTTAGGATCTAAAGCCAAAACTGCAAGAATTGCAGTGCCACGGAGAAAGTAATCAAGGAAACAAGCCCCCTGTTCTAAGTTTATAGGCTACTGTCCCAAGACAGTAGAGACATGTTAGATCTGGGAGGGGAGAAAGTAAAAAAATTGAAATGTCCCTCTTCATTAAGCTATTACATGAAAGATGAGCTGTATATGCTTCTCTTTTGTGAGCTATGTTTTTAATAGAAGCGACTATGGCTGTTGTGTTTAGCACTGGATTCAGTGTCACCAGCACCTTTAGAGATCTTCTGGGTCTGCCTACACAATCAGGCCCTCAGAAGATATAGGCAGGTCTTCAGTTTTGGGAAATTTCCCTGTTTTTTAGACAATCACTAATTTCTAAGCTCTTTAGAAGTTTAGGTACTAACTTAGATATTCAATGACGACAAACCTCAGGTATTAAAACAATGGTAGGGACCAAAATGTAGGCATCATATGGGTTTTGCAACTGCTAAAGCATTTTTCTAACTTTCCATTTTGGAAAGTAACGACTCTCTATGTATATGTAAATAATACTTACTGAACTATATTATTATATCGTATTTTTTATGTCTCTGCTACTACTTCAGATCTTTTTTTTCATCCTGCTACTTTTATTCAACCCAAATTCCCACAAAAAGTAACCCATGCTACATGTTTAGCGAACTTCCCAAACCTTTTCACAAAGCAAAGACACAGTCTTTATCAGTTAGAGAAAATTTTCTCCAGTGATAAGATATATTCAGAGGTATATTTTGCACATTACTGTTTAGACAACATGTCAATATATAAATAGTATTTTGTTTATATGTTTCTACTGTCAATCGGGAAAAGACATTACTTGGCAGTTGTTAGTCTGGATCTAGAATGCTGTGCTCAGTTTTGGGCTAATACAAATCAGACAACTGGAGAGTCCTGTGGATGGACAGGTGGCTGGAGCACATGCTGTAGGAGAGGCTGAGGGACCTGGGCTTTTTCAGCCTGGAGAAGACAAGGCAAGTGGGGGAACATAAACAGGAAGGCCTACAAGCAGTTATTAAGACAAAAGAGCCAGCTAGAAGTGGTGCATAGTGAGAAGATGTAAAGCAACAGGCATAAACACAAAGGTTCAGTCTGGATATTAGAAAAAGCTTTTCCATGAGCACAGTCAAGCATTATTGGAACAGGTTGCCCAGAGAGGCTGTACAGTCTCCATGCTTGGATGTTATCAAGACACAACTCGATAAAGCCCTGAGCAACCTGGTCTGAGATCTCATAGCTGGCCTTGCTCTGGGAAGGAGGTTCAACTATTAGCCTGAATTAGGAGTCTTATTTATGCTAACATCAAAGTTGCATGCCTTTATTTGCACGAGTATATGTAAAGCTGTACAGCCAACCTGCTACGGAATCATACCAGAAAAAAAAAGTGCCATCAGTGCTATACAGTTTGTTACCACATAATGAAAGGACACACTATAACTGTTATGAAGCACTTTACACTAGTGTAAGCCCAGTTGAAATTACAATTTTACCAGTATAATAATCTGATTGAAAAACAAAAATGGAACCTTGTTGATCAAGTCTACTTGACTTTTAATCACAGAATCATAGAATGCTTTGGGTTGGGAAGAACCTCAAAGCCCATCTAGTTCCAACCCCCTGCCATGGGCAGGGACACCCTCCACTAGCCCAGCTTGCCCAAAGCCCCATCCAACCTGGCCTTGAACACTGCCAGGGAGCCAGGGGCAGCCACAGCTTCTCTGGGCAACCTGTGCCAGTGCCTCACCACCCTCACAGGGAAGAATTTCTTCCTAACATCTAATCCAAATCTCCCCTCCTTCAGCTTAAGGCCATTCCCCTTTGTCCTGTCACTCCCTGCCCTTGTAAACAGCCCCTCTCCAGCTTTCCTGTAGCCCCTTCAGGTACTGGAAGGCTTTTAAATTCAATTGTGCTTTATTTAAATCAAAACTGAAAGATTTAAAGATTCCCCATGAAGTTAGCAATTTTTAACTCAGTAGCAACAGTGAATCTTATTTCTCCTGAAGTGAAATTGAATCAAACAATTAAATTAAACTTCTGTCCTATTGACTCTTAAAAGTAAAAAAAAAAAACCAAACCACAAAACCACCAAAAAACACAAAGACTGTAAGCCTTCAGCTCCTAGAAGGACAGGACTCTTGAGAAATAAATCACTTTATAAAACTTCTCCCAATCATATTAACATTTTTTTCCCTTTTTGTGTTTCCCCCAAGAGTACATAATGTTGGCAAAATCAGGGTAAGCTATGAACCAGCTACTGTGAAGGCAGCAGGACTTTTTTCCTCTGCTGCATTATGTAACTGAAGAATAATATGGCAAAAGGAATTAAAGCTATCTAAAACAAGTAGTAGCTGGTAATTCTCTACAGCTACAGTATTACAAAAGCATATACTGCCGAGAATAATGAGATAACCCACAAAGCCTGTTATGGCATACTTACTGACACCCCCCACACATATTGGTTATAATAAAAGCAAAAGGAACATAGGCAAGTAGGAATAAATTAACCATAAAATATTGACAGTAAGAAAAGGAGAAATGGAGAAAAAACACTGAGAGTTACTTCCTTCCCAGCATGCTATCTAAAATGTTGATCAGGCCATATTCCTAGGTTATCTGGTGCAGTTAGATTGGGGTTATCCCACCTGAAATCATAGCTCCACCTATCTCAACATTCCTCCTTTCACTGCTATGGGTTTA